AAATACTAAAAGCTTTTCTCCTCAAGATAAAAGAATGCTCTTGTCATGAAGGATGTTTGAATCTAGTTACATATAGAGATTCTCTTTTTGACCTACGTATTTCAGATTTTGTTATCTAAGCTATGAATTTTTATTATGAATCTAATCCTTTTGAATGTAAAATTGAAGAAAAGAACGAAATCATATTTTAAATATAATAAAAACTAGTTTCACGCATCATGTATACCGTTTCCATGGTTGTGAAAGGTGATCTAATTCAATGGTTTATTAATATCTCTATTCTTTAATTTTAAATATTAAAAACTATTTAAATAGATGCCAATTCAATGAATGATTGAAGAAGAATCTGCCATCTTTACAATTACCAATTATATATGAAATTAAATCACACTAATAATGATGTACAATCACTTCTTAATTCTCAAATAAACATGTTTGTTAGTCTTGTTTTTTGGTTTTAACTAAATATAATTACAATAAATTCACGTTTCGATGATAAACAAAAAAAGTTTTATTTATTTACAATTTTACTTGGGTCTAAAGAATTACATTGTTCCATATCAATTTTCATTAAATGAACTAGTTCATATGACATTACAATTATTTTTTTTATTTGAATTTATTTGTCTATAATATAACTGAAAATAATCTTCTACCGTTTTTATATTGATTTTATACATTAAATCAATATTGATGAATTTTTATTTTAAACAATGATTCAACATAAATTTCAATTGATCAAATTAATGTTTCAATCATATAACATACTAAACTCAATAGAGAATATCATTGATCAAAAATACGACATGATATCATACAAATTGATAATAATAATAAAGGAATGAATTCGACATATTATTGATAGAAATGATCATGGATCGAAATTTCATAAAGATTATTATTTGATTAATATAAGTAGGTTGTGAAAGTGAGTGTAGGTATGGGTAAAATAAGATCTACGCCCACACCCACATCAATCCTCAATAGAAAAATAATTGAATTATACAGGCTGTAATGACAAACTGGATGAGTAGCTAGCCGCTACCCTCAGCAATGATGTTTATTAGTTTCTTCACATATAACGCATGCTTATATAGGAGAGAATGAGAGAGAGAGAGAGATGAGGGTGGGTGTGGATGTAGGTACTCTTCTCATCTACACCCCATACCCACACCACACCTACCCTAAGATAGTTTACTAGCACATTTTTTTGAGTGTATTCACCCAGAGCGAACAGATATAATCGTAGCTACACATAGACTTGTTTGAAAATAAATAACACTGGAGTACTAATGAAAGAAACGAAAAACATGCACATGTAATTGAGTGATTTATGAAGAACCGATGCGACAGTAAACAAAATAACGGAAAAAAGGTCGACGTAAAATTGGTGAATCCGATAAATAGGCAAGAAATTTATAACAAGAAACCGCAAAATTTTTTAAATAAAATCTTCAAATCAGACGAATATGCTAAACCAGTACAAAATAAATGTAGAAGTCTCTATGAACAAACTGAATATCATTACAAAGAGGCAAGTGCCTTTGATACATACAGCACAAGGACTACAATTGTGTTTTTTACAATTAAAACTGTTATATGGATAAATTATCATCAAATTATATCAAAATTCATTCTAATAGAAAAGTAGTACTAGACCTCTACCCGGCCCAAGGCCGGCTAGAAAAGTCGGCTGACTGCAGAGCCCAAAAAATATCAAAACCTGGTCCTATACGACATCTACTATTTCTATACCCAAGAGTTGTGTAGAGGAAATCATAATGAATCTGAATCGTAGATTTCCATGTAAGGAAGCTCTCAGCTGTTCATTATCGCTCATCGTCTCATCTGTCTAAACCATGAAGAGATTTTTTTAAATGCTTGAGACTTCTTCGTGGATGAATTTCAGCTATGCAAAACGATAATTAAAGTATATATGCACATAAGATCTAAAATATGAATGGTCTTTTAAGACTGAATCACGCATACCCATATAAGAAAATTACCAGCTGTTAATTATTCATTTTCACCATTCGTATATCTTCCGAACGCTGCCGAATTTCGAAAAACGGATTTCAGATGTGCACTCGTCACGTTCTCAGGATCTCGCCAAACTTTTTTTCGACTGAAAATTATGCTCAGAAGCTGAGAACGAGTGGCTGACTTGAATCGTGACTCATGCGTCCAGAACAAGGAGAAGAAGAAGAAGCAGAAGAAGAATTTACCATGGCAACTAAGCGAGTGAAAAGCAATAAGTCGGCTCTGCCTGCACTTCGTGCAGTCAGCCGACTTAATTAAGAAAAAGTATTTTAATTTTAGTATACGTTTCCATCATTTGATTATGCAATTGAAGCTATTTTGTCTGCTTGTAGTAAAAGTTGACAAGAAGTTTGTGATTCAATACTAAATATCGTTTGAAATGGTGGATTAACTTGCACTAAGTGAAGTTTTGAATAGAGCTTTTCAATAAAGCTTAAATTTTCTACTATGAAAAAACTTTACATGACTATCATACTAGCAAAGCACTGAGTAAGAATTCAAACTCGAATTATTCTTTGATATTTAACATAATTTAACTCTCTTCTTGGATTTTAGTTTTATTTTTATCTTAAATTTTTATTCAATTTAATATTAATTTTAAAATTGTAACGTTTCGAGTCTCCATGGATACTT